CTCCCTCCCCCTCACCGCCCCCCCAGCCACGTGTCTCTGGGGATACCTGGGATGGAGCTAGCCACAGGGGAGCAGATGGTGCCCATGTGGGCAAATGGCAAAGGGGCCGCTCAGGGCCCTCCTGCCCAGGGGCAGGCTGCGGGGGCGCCCCCCCCCCCCGGCCTGCTGACAGGAGGTAGAGCTACCAGGTGTGGGCGCCTGGGGGAGCCCAGAGCAGGGCAGCGGATTCTGCGGTGTTCAAAGAGTCCCCTCGGCAGCCCGCCTCCCCCAGGCCCTCACAGGAGCCACAGAGCATGAGGCAGCGTCCAGCGAACGGAGAAGAGGCTTTCCTCTCTCCAGCCCCTCCACAGACAGCGGTCAGCTGGGCCGGGCAGGCGACTGACACCCGCTTGGTCCGTCCTAATTCCGCGACTCTCCGTGGACAGATGGCCCCGCGCGGCTGGGTAACAGCGCCTGCCCTCGGCCTGGGGCTGACCGAGGTGCCGGAGGCAGCGGCTCCGAGCGCGGGTGCGTGATAGAGCCAGGGCTCGGGCCAGGCGCCAAGCGACCGTCCGATGGCAACGGTGTGCTGGTCCCTCGATGAGCAGAAGGCGGGGCGTCCGAGGCGGCCCCAGGGCAGACGCAGAGGGACGCACAGATGGAGAGGACACGGGTGCGTCTGCGGGGAGAGCAAGGTGAGGTGGTGGACGCAAGGCGAGCCCCGCTTTGAACTGCTGGGTCTGGGGTGACAGGGCCCCCCCGGAGGGAATGTCCCACCACACCAGCGGAGAGGTGGCTGAGTTCGGGAGGGGCCGGGGCTGGCCACGGGCCTGGTGTGCGGGCCGCCCCCAGCAGCCACGCGCTCCGAGCCGCTTCTGCAATGTTTATGGAAATGTGACTTTGCCCGGGAGATGCGTGTGTAATTGAGAATCTTTCATTGTCTGTTTCCAGTCGCTGTTCTCGCTTGAGTGATTACGAGCATGGAGGGAGCTGATTGTGCCCGGGGCGGTGTCCGTGGGCGCGGGGCCCTGGGGGCCTGTTTCCGCCACCCCCGTGCCACTTCATCTGGAGTAGTCCGCTGGGTCCAGAGCAGAAAGTGACCTCACACGTGAGCCCGTCTCTGTCCTGTGCCACGTTCTGGGGGCTTAACCCACGCACCTCCCTCTCTGGACGCCAGAGCCTGAGCCCCAGGCATCGGCAGGGCTGTGCTCCCCGGAAGGTTCCAGGGCGGGTCCTGCCTGCCTGTCGCGGCTGTGGCCGGTTACCCGGACTCCTCCGTGTTCCGTGGCTTGTGGCACGTCACCCCAGGCTCTGTCACATGGCCTTCTCCGTGTGTGTCTGCGGGTCCTCTGCTCACGAAGACGCCAGCCGTTGGGGTGAGGGCCCCCTCTAATCCCTTATGACCACATCTTAACTTGGTTACATCTACAAAGACCTTATTTCCAAATAAAGGCACGATATGCTGTTTCAGGTGCACATGAACTTTGGGGGAACCCTATTCAACCCAGTCCACTGTCCCACGATCCCACACGACGGATGAGGAACCTGATCTAAAGGGTGTCTCCCCCCGCACCCCGCCCCCCCAGTGCCCAGCTTCCCTAGACGCTCTGGGCCTCCCGTGCTTGCCACTGAGCATGCAAAACTCTCGGGCCCCACTTCTGGCTGGCTGGGGTCCCCCCTCTGGGGTCCATCCTCCCTCTCCCTCCAGTTTACAGATAGACTGTGAAGTGGATAAACTGGGATGCAGTAGGTGGTGTGTGCTGGCTCTTATCTAATAAAAGGTAAAAGTATGAATATTGCGTGTTTGTTTATATTTGCAAAGAATCAAAGCTTTGGAATGATAAATCAGAAACTAATAAAAACAGTGATTTTCGGGGTGGGCAGAGTCAGGGAGGACAGTGAAACCTCACTGCATCCACTTAGCTCTAGTGTTCGTATAGAAAAGCCACCTCACCCTTTTCCTGTCTTCCTGACCACGCACCCCAAACACTTTGCTTCTGACACCGTGTCACCAAACGTGGGGGCTCTGGTCCCCACGGCAAGCCATTGTCCACAACCCCAGCTGGGTGTCCTACAATTTAACTCCATTCTGGCACCATCTGCCCAGAGACAGCATCAGATCCCGCAGGTGGGGGCTCAGTCCCACAACACCCTACCCCAGTCCCCCCCCACGCAGCCCCGACTTCAGATGCTAACATGAGCAGCAGGTTCCAGCAGACCCCCACTTCCGACCACAGGCTACAAATCAGGGTTCCCACGACCCCTCCTCGGGTCCGATGAATTTGCTAGAGCGACTCACAGATCTCAAGGAAACACGTTTACGGGTTCGTTATATAATAAAGGACGTGATAAAGGGTGCAGACAAACAGCCAGATGGAGAGGCATATGGGGCGGGCCCGGGAGGGTCCCCAGCACAGGAGCTTCTGTCCGTGGAGTTGGGGTGCGTCACCCTCTCCATGTGGACGTGTGCACCCACTTGGGAGCTCTCCGGACCCCGTCCTGCTGGGATTTACGGGGGTTCCTCACGGAGGTCTGCAATGGCTCATTGACTCCATTCCCAGCCCCTCCCCCTCCCTGGAGAACTGGGGGGGAGGAGCGGGGTGGCCTGAAAGCTCTGAGCTTCCAGTCACCGCTGCTCTTTCTGGGGACCAGGCCTACCCAGGAGCCCCCCACCCCAAGTCACCTCATTAGGACAGAAGATGCTCCGAGTGCCCTTGTCACATGGGGAATGAGGAGGGCCCCAGGAGCGCTGTGCTGGCTGCGGGGCCAGAGACCGGTATGGACGTTCCCTGTGATCTCATAGGGTTTGACTTCAGAACTATGTAAATGTTTTCATATTCAAAAAATAAACTTAAATTGAAAAAGAAAGTATCCTTTCCAAAAATACCCCATATATTTCTATAAATTTATATAAAGTCTGTAACACAACCAAAGGAAAAATTTATTTCAAAGGACTTTGGAGCACGGTATTTAGATTGTTTTTAATGTGATGCTTTTTAAGGACAAAAGACAATAAAGAAATTACAAATATCATTCAGTAAGTCTTACTGTTGGTATGAAATCTGACATTGTTATTCGGAATATTGTGTATTTTCTGAAATAATGCCAATAAGTCATTACACGAATGTTGTGGGGATCCAGTACCTGTGTGAGAGGAAAGGCATACAAATCAGAATCAGATCCGTTACGTACAACCCCACGATCCTAAATTTGAACTGGAAATGTTAGTGTAATCTCGTGCTTTAAAAACAGAATGCACATTTCCTAGCTTTTTTTTTTTTTTAAAGATTTTATTTATTTGACAGAGAGAGACATAGTGAGAGCAGGAACACAAGCAGGGGGAGTAGGAGAGGGAGAAGCAGGCTTCCCGCGGAGCAGGGAGCCCGATGTGGGACTTGATCCCAGGATCCTGGGATCATGACCTGAGCCGAAGGCAGACACTTAACGACTGAGCCACCCAGGCGCCCACATTTCCTAGCTCTTGTCACCACACCAGACAGACAGGAAGCAATGACCACAAAATCTGGCACCGAGTACCTGGATTTAGGTCTCCGAACACCTTGCCCCCCTTTTAAAAAGCTCATGTGTAAAATGGAGACACAGTGGGCCCAAGACCCATCTCCTGCCAGAACCAAGGAAAGCGTCATGGCCACTTGAGGTCCCGCCACCGGCCACTGGACAGGCCTCTCCCCGGCAGGAGCATTGAGAGAGCCAGGGCCACACCTGACCAAATGCGTTTAATACATGCAATCCATCTGCTCCCCGTGATCCTAAACAAGAAATTAAAAAAAAATTTTTTTTAACCTCACTTGTTCCTTTCGGGGAAATTTTCTTCGGATCCCTTACTCCAGAAACTGGTAACTGAAGAGCAAAAGGAAATGAATTCTGCATTGACCTCATCTTCCTGTACACTCTCTTTTCGGGGGGGTAACCGAAGAGCCCGAGGTGATAACATGGAAGGCTCTTCTTCACAAAAAAAGTTCCAGTGAATGAATCTAGAATGAACCATGGGACATGGAGGCCCACCATCTTTCCAGCCCTCACGACGTGATGATTCAGGCCACCACCGAGGGCAGGCTCTCAAGCTCCGAGGTGAGCGGACCAGGACAGAGGCTCCAGGCACCCACAGTCCTGAGTGGGTCGCAGGGGAGGGATGGGGCTCCACCACCCACACCCCTGCTCGGGGCTGGCAGCCATGCCTGGGCCGGTGAGCCTGCATGTAATAGAGCCTCCAGATCTAGTTCCTCATTTGCAGGGAATCACAGAGAAAAGGGGATAGAGGGGTTAAAGGTCATTGCTGACACCAAGAGACATCCTGAATGAGGGATTCTGGACCTGGTTTCTTAAATTCGCCTTGGCATGGAAGAAGCAAAGGGAGGGCAGTTCCAGACGACAAGAACTGGAAGAGACCCAACACGCCGATGCCGAGGGGGTTTGTGTCCTCGCTCCGACAAACCAACCGTGGAGTCGCTGGTCCTGGAGCCCACCACGGAGAAGCCCGACTGTGGTCAGCGTGGCGGCCCACGGCCCAGAGGCTGCAGGAGAGCCCATGCGTGTGCGTGAGCACCGGATACCGAGAGGAGAGAGGCTGCCCTGCTTTGTGTACGTTTGGACATTTTCCAGTGGAAAGATGTCAAGCGCTGGGCGCAGGTAGGGCCTGGCCTCTCTGGCTGCTGGCAGCCCTGGGTCGTTTTGGTGAGTGCAGAAGGGAGCGCTTCTGGTCCCCAGGGCTCTCCTGGGTTTATCTACACACAGTCACCCACCGCTGTGTGCATCCCTGCTCGAAGCTCCAGGTACAACTTCCTGACCCAGAAGAAGCCGGGTGAACCCAGGGCAGAGGCCAGGAGCTAGAGACTTCACACAGAGACAGGGCGGCCGGGGAGGGGTTAGGACCAGGGCTTCGGGGTGTCTGGGCCACACACATCTGCCTTTTATCCCCACCCAGGCTGCAGGGCCAAGGACCAGGCTGCGCCCAGGACCGCCAGACTCTGCCCTCCTGGCTCCGGCGCCCTCCCTGCCAGCTCGTGCCCGGGGCTCCAGGCTCATGCGTTCCTCTGTGGCTCCCTCCGTGTTCCCCGTGCCTCTCCCAGCAAGGACAGCACTGCAGGCAGGGGGCTCAGTGACCCAGCAAACTGGTGTGTGGGGCAGACGGCAACTCCCAAAGAATTCCCCGAGCTCGAGCTCGACCCTTCCTGGCTCAGCGTCCCACTCTCCGGTGACCGCGATGCCACACGCTGGGCCTGGGAGGGGGGACAGACCGTCATTTGAAAGCAGCAAGGGGACATGAAGGCATCTGTGGATCTCAGTTGGAAATTTAGCCTTAGGAAATTGCAAACGCACAGGTTCTTTTATAACATATTAACTACAATTGTTATAAATCTACGATAGGAAAAATTTGAGAAGAATCCAAATTTCCCAAAGGACAGTTACAAAGGACAGTAGTATGATTCCAGTTTGTAATTACGTATTATATGAGGCAAGCTGGAAGAAAATACAGTAGAATTTTTCAGAACTTGCATCTGATGGATGGTAGAACTGAAAGTAATTTTTGCTTTTGTTCTGTGTGGTTTCCCATATTTACTGTATGGCTGGTGGTATTATTGGTTTGACACCTGCCATATTCTGAGCATTCTACCTAGAGCTTTATGCTCAGTGTGGGTGTAACTGACGCTTTGCAGAAAAGGAAACTGAAGCTGCACATTGAGCTCATCAGCTGGTGAGCAGCCAGGCCGCTGGGACCCAGGCCCCAGACACACTACAAAACCTGGGGACCTTGCTAGCAAAGCAGCTGCCTGAGCCCTGCCCCAGCGCTTCCCCTGAAGTCTGCCCCCAAGGTGATGGGGTTCTGCTGAGCATCAAGGTCAGAGGGAACCAGAGTGCCCATCCATGTGGTTACAGGGAGGCGGCCCCCAGGAGCCAGAAAATCCAGGACCTGAACCCACTCCGCTGAGTGCCTGCTCCCTCCCCTCGGGGTCTCTCCTTACAAACTGCCCTGGGAAGGACATTCACACCCACAGTTTCCCTGATCCTCAAAGCGGGGACTTCCCAAGAGAACAGGGTGGGATCTGAACACAGGTCTGTGCACAGCAAAATCCTCTGAGTTCCCATGAGCAATGGAGCATGGATACAGGCCACACACCCAGGTGTTGGTTCCAGAAGGTTCCTCAGGGACCAGGGTCTTAGTTGAGTGCCTACTTGAAGCCTAACTCAAAATTGGGGGATGGATGGGGTTGCTCCCTGCCCTGCATGGCCTGATGCTGACCCGACCTTGGTCCCTGGGGAGAGGGAGGGGCCGGTTCGCCCCAGGTCACCCCAGCTCTGCCCTTGTTGGGGGTAGTCCCTCTGGCTGAACCAGAATGTTTGCTGCCCATCGGGGGAGGGGAGGGGAGGAAGGGGGCTTCTCTTGAGTGTTTCGTGGGGCAGAGGGAGCAATCTCAGCCCTTGTCCAGAGATGCAGTGTTCCTGGTACAGCAGTGGCCGGGCCTGTGGACGGACTCTCCGGATGCCGGCTCCGGGTTTCCTGTCCGGAAGGCCAGGCTGACGTCAGGGTGTGTGGGGACTCACCCTCTCCCGGCCTGTGCGGAGGCTGGGGCGAGTCCAGAACCAGCGGTGCTGGGTCCCTCGAGGGCCCTTTGGTACAGAAGCCCCAGCTGGGCAGGACTGAGAGGGGCTCTGAGGGCCCCAGCTCCCAGGGCTCAGTGCACACTGTGATACTCCACACTGCAAGGTGCGAGCACAGGGTGTGGGGACCCCAAGCGGGTGCCAAGACCTCCTGACACTTTGTGGGGCCCCAC